TATTTATTTGAGGGAGAGCACGAGAGCAGGGGGAGGAGCAGAGGGAGAGGGACAAGCAGACTCCCCACTGCTGAGTGCGGAGCCAGACACGAGCTGCATCTCACGACCCTGAGATCATGACCTGAGCTGAAATCAAGAGTCAGGCGCTTTAACTGACAGAGCCACCCAGGCGCCCCTCCCCTTCTCTTTAACAACCAAGCCCCACAAATGTTTCCCCACCAGGGTGCACCAAGCCCAGCGATGGAATCTCAGGATGAAAGCTAGCACTGCGTAAGAGCTTGCCCCCCAAACCTGGCGTGCGAGAGTGTGGGGTGTGGATGTGGAACTCAGACCTGGATGCCCCAATTCTCATCCTGGCTCAATCCACCAGTGGTTGGACCCTGGGCTGGCATCTGATTTCTGTCTTGACTTCCTCACCTGAAAACTGGGCCATGGCGGCCACACAGCACAGTGAGGAGGATGGAGAGGGACAATGGCGAAAGCACTGACCCAGGAGAGGACAGCCAGCGTCCACCATGGCTGTTAGCGTTGGTGTTATTACTAATGGAAGGCTGGATGCGGCATCCCACCACCTGTACCTGGAGTGTGGGGGGGGGGACCACAAAGACCAGACTGCCCCAGCAGGAAGGTGACCCCCGGCATGTAGGACTCAAGAGTCCTAGGCAGAACCGCAAGTCCAGGCCCAGAGAACCCCCACTCAGGGCCAGGCAGTGGCCCCTCTCTATCACCAAGCTGAGTTCCCTTTGTATGAGAAGAGCCAGCAGAATGTGTAGGGAGAAACGTGCGGGACCCTAGAGAAGCCCTGGGGTCCTCAAGGCGCCAGCTGGAGGTGAAGGTCAGGCTATGACCTCCGGGAGAGGAAAGTTCCAGTGACCTAAGCCAGGAGACCACCGCCCACCAGCTTGCCGACCTGTTAATACCAGCACGGAACCCTTCCCCACAGGCGGCCCTCCGACACCAACCCCTAGCACCCAACCCAGGGGTGCGAGGCCCACCGGGTCTCCAGGAGCAGGCCAGCAGCCGGGAAGAGGAAGGAAAGCCCGCAGAGGGGCTGGGGTGGACGCTTCACAGAAGTGAGAGGCCACAGGCAGGGGAGGCTCCAGGGCTGCTCAGCCAAACACTTCTCTTGCTTCAAAGCTCAGGACAAATACTTTTTAAAAATTGTTTCAGAGTCCTTATGTAATGGGATTTCCAGCGGGGACAGAAAGCAACAGAAAACCTTACCTCAGTGGTTGGCAAAGTTTTTCTTGGAAGGGCTGGATAGTACCTACTTTCAGCTTTGAGGGCCAAGAGGCAAATCGATAATTATGTCAGAAGAGAAAACGAATTTCCACGACTTTGTTGTTGATGGAATTCAAAATATAGTAACTGAACACTTTTTCTGATAATGCAGGTCTACTAATGAGAAGAATGGAATTGGGACAGGGGGTTGCAGGACATTTCACTTGGGTTCAGAGATCGGGCTCTCCCCCATCCAACATCACACACCCGGCAGTGAGCTAGATTTGGCTGGCAGTTTGCTGACCCCTACGAGAGCAGGTGTGTGTTGATCCTGGTGGGAGCTGGGTGATGGGTACTGGGGTTAATTATATTGTTCTCTCCCTGATGAAGGTTTGCAAACTTCTCATGATAAAAGGCTTTCCACTCCTTGCTAGCTCCCTGCAGCCCACGCTCCCCGCCGCCCCGGGTTCCTCAAGATGAAGGACATGAAGATAGGCTCCACACAGCCCCTCTGGAAGGGGACTAGGATGGCTGCTCGGATGGCAGGGCTGGTCACCCCTAGACTAGGCAGTGACTGCCCCTCCCCATCGCATCACCATCAGCAGCCCAAACCCACCTCTCAGAGCTACTGCCTGGGGACGTTGCCCCTAGAAAGCCCTACAAGCCAGTGGGGGATGGCAGGTCCAGCCCTGGGCCACTGGCCCAGGAGCCACCACTCGGAACTACTGGCTAGTCCCCACGGGAGTAAGGGGAAGGACGCCTGGGAGAAGCCTTTGCAGAGAGGTCTGGAGAGCTCCGAGGAGCTCCCAGGGGGCCTGGCTGGGTCCCAGGAAGGCCTGGGGGAGCCTGACCAGCACCTCACTGCCCTGCCCCCACGGGGCAAAGGGAAGGGGCTGGGAGGTGATCAAAAGAGTGTACCACCACTTCCTACCGGCTACAGCCTGACTGATGGTATCATACCCAGAGCAAGTAACTCGAGGGGAGAAAGGGCACATGAGGCAGAGGTGTGGAAGACTGACTCCGTGAGCCCCGGCTTTGGGGTCCTTGTCAGATGTCCGCTGCCAGCACTGCTCCCATCCCCGGAAGAGATGGACCTAGGGTGTGCATCCCCACCCCCACCCCGCTAACTAGGGCAACTTTACCCCTGACCAGTTAGTTTCATCAACAGAGCCTGAACAAGCGTCACGCAAGATCTAAAGGGAAGAGCACGAATCACCACATCGGGCTGAGCTGAGAAGATTCAGGGCTGCACTCACGCCGGATGCAGGAGCGAGGAAAGGGGTCTGTGCTGATGATGCGCATGCACACACACATGCACACGCACGTGCATGCACGTGCGTGCGCATCTGTAATATAGGCACAGAGCTGGCCGGCACGCACCTGTAATGCAGGCACGGAGTCCAGGCTGGGGCTGCCAGGGAACAGCCGGTCGCCGCTCTAAGGGCGCTGATGGAGCAGCCACCCAGCTGTGAGCAAGACACGCTTCTTAAAGACCCGGCCCAGGCGCTAGACCTCACGCTGCGGGGCACCTCGCGGGGTGCACAGCAGCCCGCGCGGGGGGGGGCATGAGCGGTGCTCCGTATAACTGGGACACTCTCACACCGGCGCGTCACCTGCCCGCCGTAGGCCCTTATGGAGGGAAGAGTGGGAAAGCCCCGCCACACCTCACATTCACCTCCTGACCGAGTCAGCCACGACTCGGGCCAAGCAAGGGTCTGGGGGCCCTGGCTCCTGCACCCTCGGGCACTGCCACGTCCACGTCCCCTGCCCCCGCCCCTCATCCTCTGCTCCTCCACCTTCTGCGAGCCTCCGGGCTTGCTCCCTCCGCTCCACGGGCAACAGCAAGTAGAGGTTTTCCATGTTTCTCATGAACTCGTTAATGATTTTCGAGCTTAAGCTACTCAGGCCGGGCCCCGAAGCCACTCTGGACTTGGAAACTTGTGACCCACAGCTCAGCCAGCTCCAGTCCTCTCCCGGGGAAGCGCCCTCTAGGTTAACAGCTCTTCCCAAGGGGCCCGAGGCTGCCTGAGCAGGGGTCAGCGGGTCCGCTGGCTGACCTTTGCTTTGGACTCTAAGCCCCGACTTCAAACTCCCTACTCCATCCTGTTCTTTCCGTCCATCCCTTCCCCCAGCAAATCCTTTTGTCCCCCCATTCAAAAGCCTCTGTGTCTTCATTCTAAAGGTGCAACCTGGCAGACATGATAAGGTTTATCACAACCTTGCAAACAGAAAAAGAAACCTGATGGCCTGAGAATAAGGAATTCAGCTCAAGGCTTCTGGTTCACAAGATGGTGGCCTGAGCACACGGGGAGATCTTCTTTCTCTCCGGGGATCACACCTTTAAAAATGGCTGCTGGAGAAGGAGCCACAGGAGAAGCGACAGCCTAGAACCCATGGGGTGGAGGCTACAGTTCTGGGCAGGCTGCCCCAGCCCCCAGTCCCAGACTCTGGCCTCAGAGCTCACGGGAAAGGCAATGGACAGGAGTGGGGAGGGCTCTGGCTTTTCTGTACTTTTAAATGAAAAAAATTAAATCTACAACCAGCTCATCTGACTCCCGTGCAAGGAGGACAAGCCGCCGAAACAAAGCTGCTTACATTTTGGTACCAAATTATGATGTGCATTTATTTTCTACTTCTTTATAAGCTACAAGATTCATCTAGAATCGTTAGGAGAAGGCGAAAGGGGCGTTTGGCTGGTTCAGTCAGTAGAGTTTGCAACTCTTGGTCTCAGGGTTGTGAGTTCAAGCCCCATGTTGGGTATAGAGGTTACTTAAAATATTAAAAAAACAAAAAAGATTCAAGCAGACAAACTAAAAAACAGACAGCAGTGGGGGTTCCAGAAAATGGAAGACTCCACTAACAGAGAATTTAAGGTAACAACAGATCTTTATCAGACCCTTATCTGGAATTAAGAAATAAAAATATTAGCCTACCACATTTCTATAGTGAACATCAAGCCTGTTCATCACTTGGCCTGGGAAGTGGCATCACTTAGGTCTAGCGATTAACAGACACCCTGAAAGACTGGCAGTCAGGACACCGAAGGTCTAGTCCTGATTCTGTGTGACCTTGGGCAAATGATTCCACTTCCTTGTGACTGAGGTTCCTCCAGAAAGGAAATGACTGGTCCTGACTTTCCCCTAAGACTAATGTGTGGAGTGAGAACATGCACCAAGTAGGCTTGCAGAATTCTGAGCGGAGTGCGGTATGACCCAGTACTGTTGACAAGGTTAAGGGGGAGACAGTAGGCGGAGAACGGAATGACAGCCATAAAAATGGTGGAGTCACACATAGACTGGGTTTTAAAAAAGAAAAAGAAGGAAAAAAAAAAAAGGAGTTTCCCAATGACAGCCCCATGCCCCAGAAGAAAAGATCCAGTAAGAATCAGGGGCCTTTAGCAAGAGTCAACAACTGATGGGGGAACCGGGCATCTGCACTCACAAGAAGGATGCTGACCTCTACCTCATACCATATACAAAAAGTAACCTAAAATGAATCAAAGGCCACTGGAGAGCTAAAACTGTAAAAAAAAATCTTAGAAGGAAACAAAGGCATAAATCTTCTTGACCTTGGATTACACAATGGTTTTCCAGATACGACACGAAAAGCACAAGCCACAAAAACACGTATCTTAGACGTCATCCAAATTAAAAACTTGTGCTCCAAAGGACATCATAAGAAAGTGAAGACAATACACAGAATGGGAGAAAGTTTTACCAGACCACGTATCTGATAAGGGATCTCCATCTAGAATATACAAAGAACTCATGCAACTCAGTAATAAAAAAAGACAAATGGCCCAAACACAAATGGACAAGGATCTAAATAGTTCTCCAAAGAAGACAATGGCCAATAAGCACATGAAAAGAGGCTCAACATCATTAGCCGTCAGGGAAATACAAATCAAAACCACAAGGAGACACCACTTCACACCCATTAGAATGCTCTAATCAAAAAGGCAGATAATTAGCAAGCGTTGGTGAGGATGTGGAGAAATCGGAGCCTTCGTGCGCTGCTGGTGGGAATGTGAAACGGTCTGACTGCTCTGGAAAACAGTTTGGCTGTTTCTCAAAAAGTTAAACACAGAGTTCTATATGACCCAGCAATTCCACTCCTAGTATATACCCCAAAGAAATGAAAACATATGTGTACATAAAAACTTGTACAACTATGTTCATAGCAGCATTATTCATAATAGCCAAAGAGTAGAAACCACCCATGTATCAATCAACTGGTGAATGGATATACAAAATGTGGTAAGTATATCCACAGACCCGGGTCTGTGTCGCGGGTCCTACACATGCAGTGTAGTGTAGAACAAAACATTATTCAGCTCTAACAAGAATTGAAGTATGGATACATGTTCGACATGGATGACCCTAGAAAACATTTAGTTTAAAAAAAAAAACAAAAAAACAGCCACAAAAGGCCACCATGATAGGTCCAGAATAGGTAAATCTATATGGAAAGTAGATTTGCAGTTGCCTAGGACCAACGAAGTTGGGGGGAGAGAGGGAAGGTGATCGCTTAAGGGAATAGGGTTTCTTTTGGGGGTAAGGAAAATCTTCTCAAATTGAATGTGCTGATTCTGTGAATTCACTAAAAACCACTGAGTTGTATACTATAAATGGGTACACTGTATGGTATGTGAATTATAGCTCAATAAAGCTGTTACCTGCTCCCCATCCTCCTGTAAAACAGAAAAGGAATCAGGAGCCTGTTGTACTCTGGAGGAACACCATATCTGTTGTCCCAACATAACCATGACTAGAGAGCCCCTTTCGCCATCTGAAGTGTCTTGATTTATATGATAAATTTCTATCACTGCCCTGTCACTACGTGATTATCAGGCAGGTGGCTTTGCCCCTCTAGGTTTCAGTTTCCTCATCTGTAAAACAAGGTCTACCCAGTTCTGATCATCTTTGACCCTAACACTATCTATATTCCCTATATTCCCCAAAGCTGCACTTTAGAAGTTGTAAAATCCTGCTCCGTTGGTCATAGGGCTTCCTGGTGCTTTGGAAGATAAACCTAAGTTAAGCAAAGGGTTTAGATGACTGGGTCCCAGGAAACAGAGGCAAGATGAAGACTAATTCCTCAGTATACTCAAATTTCCCCATAATTAAGCCACTAAGAGAGGTGATCCAACCATCCCAATGCAGGCAAAATGCCCTAAACACTCTCTCTACACATGAAAAAAGATAAACATTTAAATGGGGGTCCTCAGAGAGGAGACAAAGTCCCTAGGAAACTTGGCAAGTTTGGCAGTGGTTAACCAAGGTCTTCTCTATTCGGGACTTGGTTCAGTCCATGCACAAGGGCCTGCTATCATGACTGTCAAGGTCATCTGATCACACAGTGGGACACTCATTTCCTAAAATGTCCTCCTTTTACCCATGATTGCTGAGGAAATAAAATTATATAAAATAAGTTCAAGAAAAAATAAATCGTTTTGTTCTCATCCCTTTTATATGCGTGAGAAAGTACCTGAAAATAGTTGTTCTATCCTCTCCCTCCCTCCCAAGGGCACAGACCCGGGTCTGTGTGGCGGGTCCTACGCATGCACTGTAGTGTCTACATGACTAACGCAGAGACAGGAGAGCCCATCTCTGGGCGCCGCAGCGGCAGGTCCTTAGAAATGAGAGTGAAGGTGAAAGAAGCAGAAGGCACAGAATAAATCCCATTCCCATCAATCCATCCGAGAACTGGAAAGACAGATGCTCACCAGGGTCGCCGAGAAGGGAAACCAACATTAAGACAGAATGGAGGCGACCCACCTACATCCAGTCAGCAGTCCTGGTCACGGAGCCGGTTACCAAAGAAGGGGAAGGTTGGGGGTGAGGCAGGGCTTTCCCTGGAGGCAGGGGAGTGGTTCAGAAGGGTACAGTGGCACCAAGATACCCAGTGACCTAGCCTCCAACAAGGGAGTGAGGGGTTTCAGAGAAGATGCCCCCACTGTTCGCCTCTCTAGGACAGCAGGCAAAGAACAAGGAACGATTCAAAAGCCGGAGGCCAAGAGGAAGGGAGAGAGGAGCCACTGGCTTTCCGCATGCCAGAGACCGCATCCACGGGTTTCCGCTGTTACTGGTCCGTGGTTTTCAGACGGGGCCAAGGCCCTCCTAGTCACAGCTTGCCAGGTGAGGCCGCAGCCTACAGAGGTGCCACTTCTACGTCCAAGGGAATCCACGGGGCTGGGAGGTGGAGGCTTTACTTTACACACGCTGCTTCTGCTCAGAGGCCACATTTCAGGATGACGTGGTAGCCGTCATTGCTCTCGGCTGCAAAGACAAACACTGGGCATTTTACAGGAAGAAAGGCACGACGCTGTGACCTTGGGGAATCGGGGAGGGCACGGTACGGGTGTACCAGAAGCCCCGCCATGGATACTGGCTCAAAACACAACTGCAGAGAGCGAAGTGTGCTAACAAAAATAGGTATTTCAACATATGCCTTCACATGCCTTCTGCCTGACTGAGTCTCTCTTCGGCAATGGGCCTTTCTACCACAGCTCTAGGCCCAAGAACTGAAGGCCCTCTATCCAAGGCGGCTTTGGACAAACTGCGGTTCTCAGGGTATTGTGGCCCCCAGCACTCTGAAGGCAGCTGCTGGCTAGATCTAGAGAACAGGGGAGGACAAGAATGGCCCTGTCACCGTTCAGGGTCTATGACCCAGTCATAGGGCTTTCATTCTGATATACTCCATACATTCACCTGCCCCAGCGCTAAGGAAGGTCACAGCTAGTCTCCCCTTTCTCCTGGGACAAGATGTTCCTTTCAGACCCCTTCCTCAGGTGAAACCTTCATGCCCCACCCCTGCCCCAGATCCCTGACCTACTAGGCCTGCAGGCTCAGCTGCTGTATTCCACACTTGCTCCTCCTGGAGACCCTCATTGTAGAAAAACTCAAATGCATCTTACTTCTACTCAAGTACTGAGTTCATGGAGAACATGTTGCCTGGCCAGGATTTCCCTTTCAGAACTGATTTTGGAGCCAATCTCAAAAGTTCCCACATCTCCAGGGCAGGGTTTCACAGGACGTGAAACGGGAAACGTCCTTTTCCCCAGAGGATGTTCCCAGGTAATGTCTCTCGAGGGACCCACTGTGCAGGCAGGCCCCGCTTACTTCAATTAAACAAGAAAAAGGGGTATGCGGGGAGGGGGCTTTACCTTTTAAGGTACTGAGGATAAAACAAGACTCATCTTGGAAATTCTGCACCATCTGGAAGGCAAAAAGAGAGACCATGTCCCTTCAACAGTGAGTTCATAATATGAAAAGCCTCAGTGACACGGGGCCCAGCCACCGTAGGAGGCAGAAATGACAGTCACTGTGTTTGCACAAATGCAGGAAAATAGTTCCACTTAACACTCACTAAGGAAACACGAAACAAGATAAATATACGAGATGATCGCAGTCGTAATTAACAAAACCTGAACATAAAGGACAGAAAGGACCCAGGCAGGGAAGTGAAACGTTAACGTTTAATACAGGACTACATGTTTGTTTGCTTTCGTTTTCCTTTTTCCTACTTACTAGGACCTCCAATCCCTATAACGGACACATTATAAGAGAATGTATGTGTATAATATCAACAAAGAAAAAAACTAAAGTGCTAAAAAAAAAAACAAACCTTGGTAATTAGTAGCCTCTGCATATCAGAGTCCTATGAGGACCAATATAAACATAGCACCACTCCCTATGTCCACAAAGTGGCAGGAATAGAACAATTACTCAGCCGCCTCCGCAGTTCTTGTTTTGGTTAACTACCAGGTGACCTTGGAGAAGTCAGCCTTTCCCCTTCTGGTCTCTGTGCCCCATCTGTAAAATGGGGCTGCTCCCATGACAGAAGAACAGAACCAATATACAGAACAATAGGAATGGGCCCCCACTGCTGGTGGAGCGTTAATCTCTACAACCACTTTACAAAGCTGTCCACAGGATTGGGTACCTTACTCTTCCAGGCCAGCGTCCTAGAGAAAGCCCTGCACGTGCACACACAAAGCACACCTAAGAACACAAACAGCAGCACTGGCTGGGAAGAACGGGAACTGGAGGGGCACCTGGCTGGCTCAGCCTGAAGGGCGTGCGACTCTTGATCTCAGGGTTGACTTGGAGCCCCACGTGGGATGCAGAGATTACTTGCATAAAAACTTAAAAAAAAAAAAGATAACTGGAAGCAGCCCCCATGCCAGTCAGTAGTAGAAGCACGAACGAACGGTCACCTAATCACGCCACGCCATCCAGTGGGCCAGGGGCCTCCGGCAGCATCTCAACATGCGTAAATCTCAAAAATATAAAGTAAAATCAAAGAAAGTCACAGGAAAACATGCTATTATCCCACCTATATGAAGTTTTAAAATGGGCAAAATCAAAACAATATATTGAGAAGGAAAAGGGAATAATCAGTACAAAATTCAGACCAGCAGGTGGAGAGGTGGAGAGGTGGAGTGGAAGAGGTAATCAGCCCACAAAGAGGCTTCTAATATAATACTGCATCAACCTGAGTGCAGGTATTGGACACTTACTTAAACTGTAAAAATAAGTTCTATAGACTCCTTGCATACATATGCCATACTTCGCAATATAAATGGAAAAAGACTATTTAAAAAATATTTAAAACATACCCACAACACACATACTACCTAACACGCAGCAAAACCCCTTTCCAAATTAAAAAAAAAATGCAACCCACATGTCATTGCCTCCTCTGGATTATTGCCCCAAAACCTGCAAATCCATCCACCTGTCGACCCCTGCCCCTCCCTGTGGAGCCTAATGATGCGTGAAGTACATTTATTCTATACTGCTGGCCTGCTCCCTCTAGGACTCTTGGCAGCCCAGCCACTTGGGCATGCGAAGCCCTACGCAGAGCCCACATGGGCTTAATCAGTAACTCCCTTGTTTAATTAAGTGCCCTTGCACCTCAGGGGCCGGCTCCGCGGCGGCTGGCCGGGCTGCCTCCAGCAGTCGGGGCAATTAAGAACCAAAGGTTTCCAATTGATTCAGGGTTAAGAGGCAAGGAGACTTCGGGGAATATGAATCGCCTACTTAGCTGAGGTAGCACTGTGGTTCTGTTCTCTGCTTCACTTGCTTAACTGCCCACTCAGGAGGGCACAGGGCGAGCTGGGGAAGGGACTTCCTGTAGGGACCCATGACACGGCAAGGGTTCCGCACATTCTTGGCTTTTGTCTTCACCAAAGAAATTCATTCCGAAATGCAGAGTGCCGAGTTTTCCTGCGCCACCACGGCAGCCCACTCACTGCTCAGGTGTCAGAACCTCCCTGGCTATTCTCAAGGAAGTGCTCAGGTCAGGAACCCTGGGCTCCAGTCTGTCTGGGAAGTGGGGATAGGGAAACAGCTGCCTGAGATTTCAGTGGAATGATATGGAAGGAATTCTGACCAGGGGGCAAAACCAGCCAGTGGCAGATAAATGTACAGCTGGATCTCTGTTGGGTGTTTTAGGAATCCACACCTATACAATGCTCAGGCACACGACAGATGCCCGCACAAAACATTATCTGGCAGAATCACATCCAAGATAATATGCACTCCTCTAGGAAAAGAGTGGGGAAGACAAGTGCCTTTCACATTTGCCCTCCGCTGTTTTATATTTCCTGACTTATGCTGTGAATTTATTTTTTATTTTTAAGTAATCTCTGCACCCAACATGGGGCTCGAACTCACAACCCCAAGATCAAGAGTCTCATGCTCCCCCCCAACCGAGCCAGCCAGGTGCTCCATGAATTGCTTTTTAATTCAAGAGGAAGAAAACCACCAGCGCTTTGCCAACCTCCAGGACCAAACTCCCATGAAATGGGGACTCCCATTCAAGGGGCTTGGGCAATTGTAATGACAAGTGGGAATAGGATTATCACCAATAATGACAATATATGAAATATACAGACCATTATAAGCCTTACACTTTATATACTATCAAATTTAAAGATCTCTCCATCACTTACTCCCCAAAGTTAAAAGTGCCCAGCACTGTCAATTACCACGACCACCAGCTTATCTGGTATCTCCCGGTGCCTGACACTGTTTTGTTTTCTCATTTGATCCTTACTACAACCTGCTCAGTGGGTGTAATGATCCCCATTTTATAGATGTGGAAACGGAGGCTCAAAGGGGTTAAGTAAATCTGCCCAGAGTCACACCGCTCCTAGCAGCAAGGTCCGGGTGGGAACACATGTCCAATTCCAGAGCCCACATTCTCTCTACTTCCCCAGACACCATTCATGTACCATTTCCTCTACAAAGATGCTCTCAGAGCTCCCACAATGGGCTTGCTGGGGTCTGCTGGGGGCTCAGCGTGCCCCCCCCTTATCCCATCAGACCAGCTCTGTTTCTCTAAAGGCGTCATTTCAGGGGAGGTGGGCTCTGCAGCTGGACACCAGGGTTCCCACCCTAGCTCCACCCTTTACCGGCCGTGCGACCTGGGGCAATTACTCAGCCTCTCTGGGCCTCAGTTTCTTACCTGTGAAATGCGATTTCACCCAGTTCATAGGGAGGCTGTCAGGATTAATAAATGAGTCACAACATGTGTACTTAGGACAGTAAGCAGTGGATAAATGCCGGCACTCCAGACTATTATTAGCAAGAGGAGGGGTCCAGGACAGAACAAGCTTAAAACGAGGCATCAGGAATGTCTAGATGTAGCTGCAAACCCTCCTTGGCCATGAGTGGGACCAGATCACTCTGTGCCCTCTGCCAGAGGCCGCTCGTGCCCCGCATAGATCTGTGCAGCCAAGGGCAGACCCAGGAAGGCCGTGGCACCTTCGCGGGTCAGCAGAGAAGGGCTCTGGGCTCCCATGTGACCTGCGTCCTCTCCACCACCCGGACCGCCGTCCATTCCACCACCCCTGGGACCTGCTGCTCTCCCTCCTGACTTCTCACAGCCCTGACTGTAAGCATCCTGGGGGCAGGGGTGCAGTCAATGCCACAGTTCCTGCATGGCGCACGGCCGGCCGAGGATGGGGTAAGGAGTGGATACTAGGTAGCTATTCAGAGCCTCGGAACTCCCCCCACCCCCGCACTCCAGGGGCAGCCAAGAGCCTATGGCATGCAGACAAAACCCATTCGCCATCTTTGGGCAGAAGTCATCCCCAAACCCCAGCTGGGGCGTTTCTGGAGCAGGTCTGCCGCGCCTCCCTACGGCCCCAAGCCCCGGGCCACGAGTCGGGGTGGGGGCAGTGCTCACCTCGTTGCTCACCACCACGTGGATGCCCGTGGGGCCCTGCCGGTAGACTCGGTGGATATGCTGGGGGGGGATGCTGTACAGGTTGGCGATCTTCTCAACCAGCTCCAAGGTCGTCAGCTCTTCCAAGAAGATGGCATGGTACACTGGAGGGGCAAGGGACAGGGCCTTCTATAGAACACACCCCTGCTGAGGAGCCTGCCTACCCCCAAGCTCAACCCACCCCCCCAGAATCAGTCCCTCGGTTGTACGGATACTCGTGCCCAGACTCATTCCGTGGGATCCGGCTGTAACAGGCACAAAGCCTCTGCACAGCCCAGTGGCAAGGGCAAGGCAGCCAGGCCACAGTTCTTCATTCCTGTACCAGCCTCCCTTGGGAGATCGTACGTAAAATGGAGAATTCCTGCATCCAGCCCATACCCAATGACGCCCATGGCGGCGCAGAGGCTGGAGAGCTCTGTATCTTTAACAAGCTTCTAGTGATTCTGACGTGTGGCCAGACGCACACCCTTGCGAGAGGAAGAACTCCTGCATCCCCTTTCCTTTCTTTCCATGGCCCAGAGGGGTCACTAGATGGCTCTAAGGGGCCAAGAGCGGGATTTAAGGATAACTGCTACTTTTAAAAAAAATTTTATTTAAAATCAATGAATTAACATATAGTGCATTATTAGTTTCAGACACAGAGCTCAGTGATTCGTCAGTCGTGTATAACACCCAGTGCTCATTACATTACGTGCCCTCCTTAATGCCCATCACCCGGTTACCCCATCCTCCACCCCCCTCCCCTCCCCCAACCCTCAGTTTGTTTCCTATGATTAAGAGTCTCTTATGGTTTGTCTCCCTCTCTGGTTTTGTCTTTTTGTTTTTCCCTCCCTTCCCCTATGATCCTCTGTTTTGTTCCTTAAATTCCACATATGAAGAAGTCATATAATTGTCTTCCTCTGACTTATTTCGTTTAGCATGATACCCTCTAGTTCCATCCACGTCATTGCAAATGTCAAGATTTCATTTTTTGATGGCTGACTCATATTCCATTGTGTATATATACCACATCTTGTTTATCCATTCATCTGTCAATGGACATCGGGGCTCTTTCCATAGTTTGGCTACTGTGGACATCACTGCTATAAACACTGGGGTGCAGGTGCCCCTTCAAATCACTGTTTGTATCCTCTAGGTAAATACCTAGTACTGCAACTGGTGGGTCATAGGGTAGCTCTATTTTTAACTTTTGGAGGAAGCTCCATACTGTCTTCCAGAGTGGCTGCCCCAGCTTGCATTCCCACCAGCAGTGTAGGAGGGTTCCCCTTTCTCCACAAGGGGTAACTGACCTGACATCACAAGGGTCTTGTCCTTGCCCTTCTCCACAGCACAAATACCACTCCATTCCAGCACCGTGACCACAAAGGGAAGAGGGGCAGTGGGAGCACCACCAGCCCACTAGAAGAGAACACCGACCTGGAGGCTGGAAATGCTTCCTTATAGGAAACCCAGCTCTGTGGGTGCCCTGGGGCAGATGACTCAACACCCGGGGTGGGGGGGCCTCAGGTTTCTCAAAAGCAAAGCACAACAGGATTAAACTAGAAGTTCCCAAACTCCTACCTCAACTGAGGAACCCCTGGTTTCAGAGGCCCTGTATTTCCAAAGCACATATGCACATGCATGCACGTACGCGCACACAAACACACACACACACACACACCAGCTCCCTCTGAGAGGGGGTGGCAGAGGCCCTGGCGTTCCAGCCACACGACAGATCGGCCGTCCCAGGATTTCAGACAGGCTGACCCACCATCAGATTCTGTGCAGAGCATGTGGCCACCGCCCCTCCCAGTGCGGACAGCAGGTAAGAATGCCACAGCTCTTCCCTAGCATTGCCTTCTGTAACAGATTCGAATGTACTTTTGCTGCTTTTCAACATTTCGGAGCCCCTTCCACTTTTTCTGAGTTCACTCCTCCAACAAATCAGGCTGGCCAGAAAGACCCAGACGGCTTGCAGTCCAGCGCGTTTTGTTGTAACCTGTGGTCACCAGCCTTTCCTGCCCCAGGTGAGTGTGGGGGCAGCCAGGAGTGCTTGGGGCAGCTGAAGGGTCTGTGGGACACTCCTCTGAACGCCTCCCAAGCCACCTCTCCTCCAGGGCCGTGTTGGCGGCAGCTTGGGGAAACATGAGGCTCTAGAGTAGGCAATCCCAGGCTCATGTCCCAACTCAGCCACCCTAGAAGCAAGCCCTGGAATAATCTCTATATGTCCCGGGGCCCCAGGGTGTGTGCAGGGGCAGCACCAGCACTCGGGGCCTCCATGAGCATAAATCACGAGCTCTGCTTGGAGCACCTGCCCTGAGCAGGTGCCATGCACGACGCTGCCCTTTCCGCATGTGCAGGAAACCCCAAGGCTCAAGATCTGTCCTTCACGGGCTAACAGCTGAGAAGGAGGAGAAGGACCTAGCCGTTCTCCAGAAATGTAGAGGGGCCAGACGGAGGGCTCAGAAGCCAGCCCCCAGGGTCCGAATGTTTGGGTCCTGGCTCTGCCACGTACAATGCTGCCATCTGGGGGCAGTGATCCACCCTGTGCCTCAGTGTCCCCCCCAGCGAAACAACGTCACCAACAGTGCCTACTAGGAGAAGCGAGTAAGCGAGCACACAGGAAGCCCTTTGGACAGGGACTCGGTGAGCCTTCCTACTCCAGTGCTCCCTCGCTCTCTGCAGACATACGCAGAAGAGCAAGGACTCTGCAGCTGGAGACCAGCCACTGGTCAGACCGTCAGCACTCACAGACGCTCAGAAGCAAGGCGCTTTGCCTTACACGCCTTGTCTCGCCGAAACCTCCCACCTCTGGGGGTAGCGTCGCTATCTGCACGTGCAGAAGCAGATGCACGGGCCCTGATACCCTGCCCAAGGCCACATGGCCAACACACGGCATGGCCAGCACTGGTGTCCAGACTCAGCTGACCTCGACGCTTCTGTCCTCTCACCAAACTGCCTCCAAACTGCCAACCCAGAAGAGTCACGTGCCCCTGAGGTACCTCTAGCTCCCGCAGCCGTGCTCCTTCGCCCTCGGGCAGCCACCAAACCAAATGGGGAAGACTCGTCCAGCTGGGGGGACACCACAGGAGGAAGCGCTCCGGGAATCAGGCCATCGAGCGTCACTAGCCTGGGAGCCGGAAGGCCTGATGCCCAATTCAACCACGAGTGGCTAAGCAAGCGGCTGTCGGGGGACACATCCCCTCTCTGGGTCTGCTCCCCAGGGAGCAAATAAGTAAGCTGGACCAGCTGTTCCGGGACAGGACTTCCACCTTAAACATTTCAATCCCAGGAGGAAGTTTAACAAAAACTCATCCTTTGGAAAAAAAAAAACCCTCTGAGAAAAGCAGAGTGAGGTGATCGGTGGACATGTTCTGGGCAAGAGGACTCATGTTGCTGCTGTGTCTTCTTGTGACCTGGCCACCCGGTAACCAGCCCTGGGTTGGCGGGGCAGGGGAGGGCTCCCCACAACTCACCACACAGACTGCTGTCCCCACCACCATCCCGCTTCTGCAGCGGTGCTCGGTTCTGCTCCAGCTCCTGACAGACGTAAATGGTCATCTTTGGCCTCACATTCCTGGCAGGAGGAAGGGAAATAAATAGCAGGTATTGGGGGAGGGGGGTGGTGGGGAGGAACGTTCCAGAACGTTCCAGAACACAGGCTGGAACTAGCAGAGAGGATTCAGGGAGAAGAAAGGAGGCCGCGGGGATGCAGAAGGCCTTTGGCTGGGCCTCTACGGCTTCATGCAGGTTTGCCCAAAGGCAGAGGGATGGGCCAACCCCTCCAAGTCCTGTAAGCTGCCATGAGGGCACTCTGCCCAGAACATGCGTCTCAAGACACAAGGTGTTTTTCAGGGCAATAACAAGAGCAAACACTTTCTCTGGCTTACCCTGCCCCAGGCACCATTTCCAGAACTTCACATGCCTACCTCATTTCATCCTCACACACCTAGGGTGCTGGAACCATGGCCCTCATTTTACAGAGGAGGAAACCGAGGCTCAACAGGGGTTAGGACTTTCGTCTAGTGTACAACTCTTAAGAGGCAGACCTGAGATGCACACCCAGTCTCTCGCCCTCACTCTAAAACTGTGCTGTCCATGCGTGAAAGGGAAATGAGACTTAAAACTCGCTTGGTCAGTCACATTAGCCTGAGACCAAGTGCCCCACAGCCACATCTGGCCAGGGCTGCTGGACTGAACAGCGTGGCCCTGAACATTTCCACTGTGGCAGACCCAGCCCAGCCCTGGCTGAGATGGGGCTCCCTGCCATACCCTGCGTCCAGCTGGAAACTGACACCCACCGGCCTTTGATGGCATTGAAGAGCCGGATCCCATCTGCAGGGCCACAGATCTGGACCAGATCGTCTCGAGACATCTTGAGCAAGTCAGCACCTAAGCAGGGAAGTGGGGCCGCCCGTTAGCGGGACACACAGAAAAGCTTCTGTCCTCAGGCACCTGCAGACATTGCACGGTGGGCAGGGGACAGGGAAGAGTCAGCCTCATGCTCAGGGGGCACTGGACGTTCCACGGAGACAGAAACAACAAAAAGCTAAACATCAGGAAATCACAGCCCCAGAGAGGAGTGGTGTTCTCAAAGGTCAACAGAACAGACAGACATTTACAAAAGCCGACAGGTCCTCACCAGCTGAGCTCCCGTCCCTCCCTCTGTACCATTCACTGGCATATAACACAAGTGCACATAACCTAGCACAGGCCGCTGATGACACGAGCACTTGTCTAAATGCACAAGTGCACAGCTACCTGCATGCAGCCACTGGGAGTGAGAGGCAGAACGTTCCCACCTCCCGCTGGCCCCCCAGGCCGGCCACCCCCCGCCTCTGGGGAACCACCATCCTGACTCCTCGCACTTAAAAGTCGTGCTGGCGGGCGCCTGGGTGGCTCAGTTGTTAAGCATCTGCCTTCGGCTCAGGTCATGGTCCCAGGGTCCTGGGATCGAGTCCCACATTGGGCTCCCTGCTCTGCGGGGGGCCTGCTTCTCCCTCTCCCACTCCCCCTGCTTGTGTTCCCTCTCTCGCTCTGTCTCTCTCTGTCAAATAAATAAATAAATAAAATCTTTAAAAAAAAAAAAAAAAAAAGTCGTGCTGGCTTCTTTGAAATTTACGTAAGCGGAATGGAATAGGATGTACTTTCCTACGTCCGGCTCCCGGCCTCCAAGTCCTGTTTAAGGGCTCATTCATGCTGTCTGTGGTTAGAGAGCATTCATGGCCATTATCAGGTATTATCCGTTGCATGAATACGCTACAATCATGGGTCCATTCTCTGCTGATGGGCACGGGGGTTGCTCCCAGCTGGGAGAGATTATGAATAAAGATCTATGAACATCTTTATCTGTGGATGCAGTCCCTTCCTCAAAGCCCAAAGAGTCCCTTAGAGCCTTATTGCCCATATGGTCTCTCCAAGGGACAAGTATGCTATCAGCCTTCTGCTAAAAACCAGCCAGCGGCCACATGGCCAGGAGCGACGATATCCAACCCCCTTTTCCTGCCATGGTTCAGATGCAGTTCCAGGCATAATTCTGCAGGCACAATGGCTCCCACTACATAAGGAGTAAAAGCGCCCCAAATCCCTCCATTGTTCTACCAGGCCCCTCGGTCTCTCTCTGACCTCACCTCCTTCCCCAGTCCACTTAGCCCCACTCACCTGGGTGCCCAGCTCTGTGCCAACACACCAGGCAGGCCCCCACCTTGTGGCCCTTGCACTTCTCCCACCCCCCCACCCCCTGCCTGGACATTTCACTGTCCCCATACCCACTTGGCTCACTTCCTTCCCTGGGCCCAGCCCCTGCTCAAGGGCACAGTCTCGGGAAGGCATATGCTGAGCAACCCCCCTCCCGCCCCAAAAATGGCAGCATCCCTCCCTGCTCCTCCCTGACCAGAGCCAGATCCCTCTTCTGAGCCTGCCCACCACCAAAGGGTCATGCTGCACTGAAATGCGTGGTTCACACATCTGTGCAGACTCAAAGCTGCAAGCTCCTGAGGACAGGGTCCCCGCCCGACCCTCCTCGTACCTGCCTCCCCGAAGTTCTTGCAAAAGCTGAACTGAGACAACCATGTGTGGTTTTCCTTCCCTTCTCACAGATGTCCTTGGGAGCCACTCCTCTAGTTCTGGGTCAAAACTTTATTCCTGGTCACTGTGGATTGACTCGACTTGGTGGCAGGGTTCACTGCTCTGTTTACCCTTATGCCAGACAGCCCTGGCTCCGGGTCTCTGTCTGCCGGCCCCTCTGGTAAGAGTGTAAAGGAAGAAGCAGCCTCCCCTTCTCCCCTGTGGCCTTCATCACCATCTCCCAGGTCGTGGCTCCAGAGACAGCGTGACGGATGGGCGGCATGTTGGTGGGAAAAGTGCTAAGAAGGCTTGCTGAGTGTGCCCCAGCCCGTCTGGCGCGGGGGGCCTTTCCCGGGCAGACTAGGGCCCACCCCAGGGGACCCAGATGGTCCTCCCTGAAAGCCACACTCGACTGGAAATGCCGAGAGGCAGGGCTTCCTATTTTAGCACTTGGCCCAGGGTCAGCAAAAAGTGAGCGAGTGACCCACGCCACACTGGGTCCCCAGGAACAAACCATGGCCCAGCAGGGAGTGCGGGCAAGTCCAGGAAGGCAACTGGCTTTGTGAAGTGCTTCTAAGATCCCTGTGGGTTTTAAGAACAACACAGAGATGCTCACCCGAGAAGCTGGCGAAGAGCCGGCAGAACTGTGAGAACCTGTTTCGGTGGAGCCACTGCTGGGCATCCTGGATCGAGGCTGACGGAAGCAGGTGCTGCAGGCAGAGAGAGAGGAGGGGGGCCTTGACATGACCACGCCGGGTCTGCCCAGGGACACCCAGCCAGAGAGTCCTGCTGCAGACACTTACATCATTGCCCAGGGGCAGGGTCTCCACCGGGTGCGTCGGAGAGCTGTTCCTGCAAAGGAAGAGACCCGGTGATCAGCTGTGGGGACAGTCCCTTCTCCCAGCCCAGCGCTCTCCCCTCCCCTCATGGAATGGCACTCCCTTATAAATGCAGCAGGGCCTCAAGAATTTCCCAGGTCAGAGACACGTAGGCGGAACCGCCCACACAATCCCTCAAAATCCCTGACCAACCCTTCAGGGCAGACACAACGTTCTGACTAGCAACACAGCCGGGCCAACAAATCACCCCTCCACCCCGAGCTTGGGGTTTGTTTGCATCCGATTCCCTCCCACGCAGAGATCCCCCACCAGCCTCGGCCCCAGGGGAGGGCAATCTGCCCGAGGAGCCCCAGGTGCCGTTTGGGTGCCTGGACAGCGGCAGCCAAACCCCTCTCTGTGGAGACAGGAGAGGGCTGCGGGCTCCTGGGGAGGTATCCCGCCCTGAACAGGCAGGCCGCAGAGTGGCATCCATCCACGAGGAGAACATTCTCATGGCTGGAGACACACTGCCCTCCCTCCGGGGCTCACCCATGGGGAAGGCACAGACATGAACACCTGGACTTTTTTAAATTAAGAGAAAGATACATCTTTAAGTGACCCTCCCAGACAGACACCGTGGAGAAGGCACAACGTGGATGGACGTAGGTGTCTCATTCTACATTTAAAATGACAACCTGGTAAGTGTTACTTTGCGTGCACCTTACCACAGGAGCAATGAAGAACAGGCCCTTGCTGGGATGATCCTCAGACCGGTCATCAGCGACAAGAGCTGCCCTTTGTCCAGTGTCCGTGAGGCACCGGGCGCCTTACACAGTCCCCCCGTCCCTGCGTGAATCCTCACTCCCTTGGTAGCGGACAAAGTGAGGCTGAGGGAGGTTTAGGAGCTCACCCCTAGAAAGGGGGGATTTAACACTTGGTCCACCTGAATCTGAGCATGACACCTTGGCTATGTGCGCCCCCTTCTCAGGGGGGCCCCTCGTGACCTTGTGAAATCAAGTTCATGGACACTCTCACTCTCCCGTTAGTAAAGTTCTCTGTACGCCAAGCACGGGCTTTGAGGAGCCCACAGGTTCCACGCCTACCTGCTGAACCTGCCTGGTGTCTCCCTGCTCCCCACTGCCCCCCAGAAACAGGATCAGGATATGCGCAGCCATCACAGTGGCGCCGTGAGCCCTTCCTGTGCCACGCAGCCCGGGACGGGTCGGACCGATGCCCGCCAACCCCTGCACAACGGTCACCTTACAGTCTGTGTGGCCTGTGCATCTGCAGAGCCGGGTGACCAGGAGTGAGGCCACTCCCGTGTTACAAGCCCTGAAACATCCTGCGCTGACCCATGCTACCTGGGGAATGCGCACAAGGACCCGGAAAGAACCAGGACGGGCCCTCGCAGCCACTGAGCCACCCGAACGGCTGCTCCTAAGGCCCCATCTGTCTAGAAGGCCATTCTGCCCACCTGCTTCTACAGGGGGGGAAGGGGTGGGAGGGCGGGTTCTGGGCTGCTGCCCCAGCAGACAGTGTTTACAGAAGCGTGTCCAAGCACAGAAAACGTGCACATATTCAAAGTGCCTCCCTGCAGCCCACACTGGCGTCAGCACACCAAAGGGGGAAGACACAGGGAAGAAGATCAAGAAAGGAGCCGAGACCCATCATCACTCCAGGACCTCCGAAGGGAAAGACGGCGGACGTACCCTTCGCCAAGGCTGAAGCTGTTTGGAGAGCCATTGTAGCTTGGAGACGGGGCGCTGTTCACTTGGTAGGCCATGTCCGGCCACGGGGAGCACTGCAGAAAGAGCACAAGGCGGCAGTGACTCGCGGGCCGTGGTAGTCAGGAGGAACTCGGGCCACAGAGGTGCTGACCCGGCTCCTCTCCCCAACCAAACCAGCATCCATCAAGGCCGGCGCAGGAAACCACAGATTCCTCAACATTCCCCCACATTCTCCCAGGGACCACAGGAGGCAACGAAGTGTGGGTTTACTAGGGCCACACCCAAGAAATCAAGCACGGCAGAGAAGAGACCTGAGATTCAGCCATTCCCAGAGCAAGCAAAGCAAGGCATGCGTCTCCGTGAGCTTCCTAGCAGTCGAACCAACAAAGGAAAGAAACCTCATCGGTCACCTGGGTCCACAGGAAAAGAGAGCTGACAACAGAGACCAGCTGCCGAGAGGGCAGGGTTTCCAGGTGTAGATGAATGTGTGCCCACGCATGAAAAAGGGGGCACTGGACACGGATAACTTCCAAACAAAAATCATCAGTGAAGTTCAGTACTGGGGCGCCTGGGTGGCTCAGTCAGTTAAGTGTCCAGACTCTTGGTTTCGGCTCAGGTCATGCTCTCAGGGTCATGAGATGGAGCCCCGCGTCAGGTTCCACACGCACCAGGGAGTCTGCTTGTCCCTCTCCCTCTCCCTCTGCTCCTCCCCCTATTCTCTTGCTCCCTAAAATAAATAAATAAATAAAAATCTTACCAAAAAGTTCAGTACTAAAACCTGCACTATTTGAAAACAGAATCGCCCGAAAGGCCCTGGAGAGCACGAGGCACGTGAGCACCTCCAAGAGCAGGCCAGCCCCTCTGGACATCATTCTACGTGTGTTTGTTACATGTCAGGTGTCCTGCTAGGAGCTAAGGGAGACAAAGAAAACACGAAAGACATGATCCTTGACCTCAAGGCACTTTTTGTGCAGAAGCCAAAAATGAACATATGTGAGAATCGCCCAAAGAAAGCAAAGACATACAGGTTTTGCCTGTTGGGGAAGCCAGCGGACAAAGTATTCATTTCTTCCCTTCCCTGTGATGACACCTCTTTGGAGACAGCCAATTTGAAGCATTCCTAAGATTTACTATCACCCACCGAGCCACAGATTGGTAAATATTTAACTCTGTTGTGCATGTGGACTGGAATTTCGTGGAGCTAAGGAGCAAAAGCCGACAACCTGTCACCTGGCAAGGTCATGGGCCAGGTGGGGGTTTTGACCAACGGCACCACGCTCTGAGATGGGCTTGGAAGGACATGGTCTAAAGCACCCCTGGCCATCAGGTGGAGGTCAGAGGAGAGTCAGGAGCAGAGAGGTTGAGGTTCAGCCTAGAAGGGAAAGATGTCTGGAGGCAGAGGGCTGTGGGAGCATGGAGGGCACCCTGGGGCGCCCCCATGGAGGGGACTAGGGCCTGGGGAGAACTAACTGGTCTGAGTGCTAATTCACAAATGCAGGGCCCAGCACTGCTTTGCTGCCGCGAGTAAGCCAGGCTCTTCCTGCGCCAGGACCCTCTCTGTTATCCTGAGCCTGATAAAACACTAGTACGTATCTGTCTCTACCGCAAAATTAGCTTCCGTACTATATCTTGTTGCAAATACCCTTCTGCACATGGTTTATTACACATGCTCACTCACACACACACACACACACACCTCATCAGGCAGGACTGGCCACCATTCTCTTAGGTGCTCTGTGCCCGGGCCTCCTCTCCTCGCTTAACACAGCCTCCTCTCCTCGCTTAACACAGTCTTAACGCCCACCATGGCCGGTGCCGGGCGTCATGTATCTGTGGAGGGCTTTCTGAACACGTCAAATTATTCAACAAACAAACACCCATGAGCTGGACTGATTGCAGAATGCAGTGGGGAATAGTTGTTTAAAAAACAACAACAGAGCCCAGAAAGAAATGGCCCAGTGGTGACCAGTGGCAGGAGGAAGAAGCACCCCAGTGAGTGTCTCAGAAGTAATGTTGGACACAAGGATGGTGGGAGCAGGGCGCTGTCGGAGTCTGGGTTAGGAGGAAACGCATTCCAGTATCCATCCAAACAACGGGGCAGCAAAGTAGTTCGCACCCCCTGACCTGGCGAGCCCACTCTGAGAACGGAAGCCTGCAGAGATCTCTACCGTATGCAGAACTTCACGCGCCCAAGGTCACTCACTGCTCCCTGTTGACACAGCAAGGGCCCAGAAAGCACCAAACGTCCACCCACAGGCCATCTATCTACACAACGGAGGCCACGCCTCTGGATAAAGAACTAGAAAGCTCTTTATGAACAGATGGGGAACAGACTCCAAGCTAGGCTATTAGATAAAGCAAGCAAGTTACAGAACAGCATGTCTGTGTACACTCTTGGGTGTAAAAGCAGCGGGCGTGGATGAATTGGATGAACTGGCTTCACTGGAAGAGAAAGCTGGGCCACATACGTGAGGACCCAGAGACACCAGGTGCCCCGGGAAAGGAAAGCTCGAGGCCAGGACAGTTTGGAGAGAGGTATTTTCTGATGTATATACACTCTCTTCTATTGGATTTTGGAGCTTTACCTATTAAAACAATAATCACCAGATTCTGGCAAGTGCAAACGGCAGCACTAGGCTGGAAGGTATTTCGGAAACCCCGTCCCAGCCCCCGGGCCTCATCGCATGAACCACAGCTCTGGACCCGGGAACCTACCACAACTTCATGGGCACTTTCAAGAGGCATTTACCCACGGTGGGCGCTCTTCCCAAGAATCTAAACCAACAGCGCGCCATCATCCTGCTCCTGGCAGAAGGCTGGGCAGGGTGGGCCGCACCCCAGCAGTAGGCCGGCTCACCTCTGTGAGAATGGTGGTCTCATAGGACGGCTGGTACTTCTCCTTCTCCTGGGCAGTTCTTTTCTCCATCTTTTCCCGGTCAGTCTTCTGTTTCCGGTCAGCTCCCTTGGGCTACAAGTGCAGAGCATGGGAGTCCAATTAGTCCAAAGTGAGCAGAGGCGGCTGTCAGAGAAAGACCCGGGGCTCGGCGACAGTCTCCGAGGCCTGCGCACTCCCGGCCTCTCCCCAGGGCCCAGGAGTCCAGGCAGGATCCTCCCTCACCTCCCAGGCGTCAAGCACACGGTCCTCCTCCTGGAGCCCTTCCCCTTCCTCACCTGTGGGAACTCACAGCCTGCTACAGGGTCCTGCCACTCAGCTGCTCAGGGGGAAACGCTTGGAAATAATCTCTACCAGTGGCTGCTGGCTCATGGACAAAACCCTTGGGAGCCACAGCAAATTGCAATGCGTTCCTTGGGTTACCAGTGGAGGGCGAAGGAAGTGGAAGAAGTCAGGGCTGCTGGTGGGAGTTTGGTCTGCACCTGCGTGCTGGGAAATCCTGGACGCATCGTGAAGGTCTCCCTCCTCCCAACTCCAGGTCTAGCGTGCAGCTCCCCGCTCACATGCCCCACACAGGGTAACCCCTCCAACCTCACAGAGCCTATGCTGGGCGCCCGGCAAACATGAGCAACTCACAGAGGCACTACTACTCCTGTCATTTACAGGTAAGGAAACTGAGGCTCAAGTGACTTGTCAAGAATGGAGAAGAACCTGCCCTGGCTGGTCCAGGTCTTCAAAAACAAAAACCCGGAGCAGAACCAAGTGTTGACCAGACCAAGAATCCAAGAGAGCGTGTCCAGGTATATATCACCACCAGGCTGGCCCACCAGCCCTGCTCCTGGGACACTCTGGACAGCCTGTGACTATCACCTTCTGTGAGTTCACAGCCTGCTTGGTGGTTTCCGACATTAAGCCTCCAAGCAGCCCCAGAGCCCAGAACTGAGTGGTCTCCCTGCGGATGCAGTGGACCGTGCACGGTGCGCAATCAGTGAAAACAACCCGTCCTCAAGCGTAATGTCACCTTCAGGGACTTCCATCCCAGAATGCACCTTCCTCAGGCCACACAGCTTTTCATTTCCAGCTCAAGAGCGTTCTAGGAGACCGCCCTCGGGGTGATGTGATACCCATGTCAGACAGAGTTGGGTTTGCAGGGGGTCCTCTGGAGACAGGGATGACAGATCTGGTGTTCAGAGAAAGACCAGGCATGCAGCACTATACCCCAGTCACCTGCCCCCCCCCGGCTCCTGCCCCTAACAGGAGGCTCTTCCTCCCCGTCCAGAAGCCATAGGGCGAGCCTGCGTGTGGGGGCGGCACTTGTCCCAGTGAGGCCTGTGGAGAGCTGGCTGGTCAGAGAGGGGTCCTGCCTGTCCTGTCAGAGGCCCTGACACCCCCCCAGAGCCTGAGCCTCGCTCCAGCAAGCAGGAGGCTTCCCCGTCACGAGGGTGACTAGGGGTGGAAGAATGACAGCCAAGTTGGTGAGACTCTGCCTGGCGCTTGCACGCAACTGCTTGAACTGCTTCTGTGATGGGGCTGGGTGCACGGGGTAGCCACACCTCCCCGGGCATTCTGAGAAGCCAGTTTCAGGTGACTGCGGCCCCTACGCCCCTGCAGGAGATGCCAAGGCCTTCCTTGGGTCACTCAGACAAGGCAGCTTCCGGATCAATTCCCGTGATAGCTGGTGTGTGGTCCAGAAGCCTTGTGGGCAGAGCCCTCACCCCTGAACTTCTGCCTCGAGGTGTAGACAGGGGAGCTGGCGGGGGCCACGGGAAGGCCTAGGCGTTCCGGCGGGGGGAGACACCGTCCGTCTCTCCTGCTGCCCCGTGCGGCCTCTGAGCCCCAGGAATTCCACTGGATGCCACTGGACCTGAGCACAAGGACAGCCAGCAGGACCACAGATGTGGTGTATATGACGAGGACAGAGGTGTGACCGGGGACAGGCAGAGACATCCGGCGGTGCAGCTGTGGGGCCGTCCACGGGAGGTCAGCACCGCGAGATCCCGGAGCGGGCAGTAAGAAGGAAGAACCGAGGCCGTGGCACCCACTGCACTGGTGGACGGGCTCAGTGCAGGAGTGCTCGTCAAGGACGGCCATGCCTAATCCCCAGGACCCCTGAGGCTGTCAGCTCCCAAGGCTGCAGGCGGAATCAGGACTGCAAGCAGCGGGAGAAGGGGACAGGAAGATGAGCCTGCGGCCTCCCAGAGGGTCCAACGTAATCACGGGGCCGGTAAAGGTGGGCGAGGGAGTGGGGAGAGGAGGCTGGAGCGGTGTGACCCCAAGAGCCCAGCGCTCTTGCCAGGCGACGGGCCACAGGCGAGGAACGCAGAGGCCTCTAGAAGCTGGCAAAGGGAAGCAGAGGGAGCCTCCGGAAAGGAATGCAGCCCTCCTCACACCTTGACTGTAGCCCAGTGAGACCTCGTCGGACTTCTGACCGCCAGCCCCGAGAGGTAATACGCGTGTGTGGCTTGAAACCACGAAACCTGCGGTCATTTGTTCCAGAGGCAGCAGGAAACAACTCTGGTGGGCTTGACTGCAAGCAGTCGTCGTCCCGAAGCACGTTTCGGAAGAGTGCTACCGCTCTGGCACAAAAGACAATCTCACGCTCCCACCGCGGCCCATGCCTTCCCACCTGGGGCGGCACCGCTAACTGAGCCAGGGCCCGCCCCTCCCTCACCCCTGCGGACGCCACAGGCTCTGCTGCGACCCTGCATCTCCCCAGGCCACGCAGGACCCTGGGCTGTAGCACCAGCCACCGACCATGTCTAAGATGCATCAGTCCAGACAGCTGAGATGAAAAGTAGTGAACAGGCAACTGCAGGGGGGCGGGGGAGGGGGCGGGGGGGGACACAGGCAGGAAGGAAAAGAGAGGAGATGCCTCCAAACATGTTTCCTTCTCCAGCAGGAGGCCGCGACACAGGGAGCTCTACGGCCTCGGGCCCTCCATAAGAACATCCGGGGCCAGGACTCCCGCACGGGGTCTCCTGCCGGGATTTTTAAGGAGAATCTAATGGGCAACTACAGAATCTGTGGCCAACTACAAAGCGCTTGGGAAGAAAATGAAAACCTAAACACATGCAAGTCCCGGCAGTCTTACAAAGTAGAGCTGGGCACAGCCACCTGTGATGGGCACGACAGAAGGTGCCCCCGCACAGGACGCCCACAGCGGGCAGCCCCGCCAGCCCACGATGTGCAGGCTCACACTCCTCGGGGGCCCAGGCTCATGCGACGCCGGGCTTGCGCGGCTGTCACTGTCTAGCACAGGCGGGGACCCCACGGGCACGGCGGCCACAGGTGTGCAGCGTGGCAAGGACGTCGTCCTACCTTGAACACCTTGATCTGGCAGCTGGCTGAGTGCAAGTGCTCTGTGTACTCCCCATTCTCGTTCTGCTTAAATGTATCAATCTGCACCCGGAAAGGCACCCCCTTCTCGCCACCGTGCTTCCGGGGAGTGAACTCTGTGCTGATGCAGTGCACCTGGAAGGGGAAATGTGGGCCAGTAGCAAGGAGAAGGGTGAAGCCAGGCCCTGGACTCCTCAAGGGCTCCTCGCCAAATGTAGGTTTCCATCCTGCCTTGTCAGGTGCACACCTGCCTCAGCCTCCCCGCTCTCCCACCCACACTCCCATCAGGGCGATGGTCTCCCCGTGCCCCCTTTACAAAGGACACGCCCTCCCACCCTTGTCCCTTGACCTTGGAGGCCCTGCCTGAGCAGCTACGTCCTCGCCACTGCTCAGGCCCTCGGGCCCCAGCGGCCCCAGCGGCCCCACCCTCACTCCCTCCTCCCCCTTGGCAGAGCCCACAGACTGCACAGCTCTGTCCCCAGCAGCCCTGGCGTCCCGGTTACTTGGGCCAGGCCCGGAGCAGGACCGGGAGGCTAGAACCATTTCTAAGTTACCAGCACCTGCTACAGAAGAAGGCACTGGGTAACGTATTTCTTATTGTAATACTATACTACTGCAATAATATAAATTATTGTGGTAATACAATAATATTGTAATCATAACTTCAAAATACAATAAGAATATTGTAATTATGTAAAAAAAAAAAATCACTAACTTTTACTGAGCAATTGCTATGGACCAGGCACTGCAGTAATGACTTTATGTTCATTATCTGATTTATAAGACAGGTGGAAAAGCTAAGAGGCTCGGAAAAGGACATAGAGTAAGGGAGAGAGCGTGTGTCAGCCCAGAAGCACAGCGGCCCCGCCATGCCCCCTGGGTCCACACCAGGTGCTTGATCACTAAATAATTAATTTAATTATAGAAACTCTGCTGGAAAAAAATTTTATTACATATTATCTATGCGAGGACATACTTATTTTGTTAACAAGCTTACATATTGTTAAGCAAAACCCACACAGAGTTCTACAACATGCCAAGTCCTTTTCTAGCTCTGGGGACCAACCAGCTCTGTGACTGAGCCACACTCCTGTACCCCATTCCCTACAACGTGCATCCCTGCAACACAGAACAGAGCCCGTTGGGGCCCCGCGGGTGGATTGTTTTGAGGAACATACAGGCCCCAAAACTCTGGCTTCCCCCGAGGACACCCTCCCTCCCGCTTACCTGAATGAACGCAGAGGCTCTCTTCGAAGGGTCCCACAAGAATTCGACTGCGTTCAGCTGGGTCGGGCTGGCCCTGGGGTCCAAGATACCAACAGACAGTGGAATATCTGCACACACACACACACACACACACAAAAGTGCAATTGTCAGCCACTCCCGAAGATTTCGGGAAGGACTCTCATTATAGGTCCAAATTCCTTAACCACAATTTGAAATGCCAAAAGTTCTGAAAACTAAGTTTTGCATAACTCATTTGGCAGCAAGCCCGACTTGAACTGCCATGAAGCCATTTAGAGTCTTTCTCCCATTTTGGGTGAACATTTTACCCTTACTGCAGAAATATTAGGGGGCCTGATTGCCTGTTGGGAGGCATTACCTGTCACTAGGGGGCCCACGTGCCCTGTTGTCATTCTAACCTCTGAATTCCAAAACCCAATGGCTCCCAGGGTCCGAGATAAAAGACTGCGCATAGACCAATGCCTCAGACCCCAAAATTCAATTTCTGTTGCCCATCTCTACAATACTCATGCTTTCCTTTGTCACAGAGCAAACTCCTTTAAGGCAGAACCCTCTGCAAAGCCTTCCCAGCAATCCCCGATGGTAGGCCTTTGAATTAGAAGTCCCCGAGGGCAGGCCTGGTGCCATGGGCACGTCTGCCAGCCCCCACAGCGCTTCACCCAGGGCAGGAGTGTATTAAAGTGCCCTATGGAGGCATGAGTTCGACAGCATCCGGGAAGAACCCCAACGTGCTCAGAGTTCCTTGGGCCCCTCATGGCCCAGGAGACTCACCAATATCCAGGATCCGGTCCCCAGGCCGGCTCCACCGCCATCCCTCCAGCTGCTGGTGCTCTGTGTACTGCAGCCGGCGGTCGTGGAAAACCACGCGGATGATGCTCTAGGGAGGAGAGGTCGGTGGGGGGACAGCTAAGTGCGGGGCCGAGAAGGACCCCCGAGGAAACTCCCACTGGGGCAAACCTCCCACCTTTTAAGACCAAGACCCCTCCTGCTGGAGCCTTCCTTCCCAGCTCTCAAGCTCTGTATGCTTCTCCCCACTCAGAACCCCAGTAACAGGACACTGAGAATGAGGACTATCTCTTTTCCAGAATTACTAAGTGCTTTATATACACGGCTAACCTATGTACCTTCTTGTGCAGATGAGCCAACTGAAGCTCAGGGAAGTTCAGTAAGTGGCAAAGCCAGGCTCAAACCTGAGTCTGTTCAACCCAGAGCCCGTTCTATCAGTCCAGGCCCTTCCGGCTCTTAGCACCACTGGCTTGCCCCTGGCTGTTCAGACAGCAACAGGAACCCACTCCCACTCCAGAGCTCTCCCCAAACCTCCCAGGCACTCCTGACCCCACCCCCAGCAAGCCCAGGTCCCCAGACACCCCCCCCACACTCCCCGCCAACAACTCCTGAGGAAGGAGGGCGGCCCACAGCCTTGCCTTGACATATTTTGTGTTCAGATCTTGAAAGTCTCCCAGCTTCCGATTCTCCAGCAGCCGGATTTCGTAAGACTGACCTAGAAGGGGGTTAACAGGACATTTTCCATTTCTGAGGAGTTTCAGACCTGGGGTTCACCCTGACAGTGGCCTTCTTGACCTCCTCAGTGGCCACCCAGGCCTCAGGGCCCCAAGGGACAGAGCGAGGAGCCAGTCCAAAGCCAACTCAGACGGCTCTCTGGGCCGCACACCCCCCATCTGTCCCCCAACCTGGCTGTGCTTAGGATACCCCAGGGAGCGAATCACGTGTCCCCGAGACACAGCACCTCTACAATTTTCAAAGAAATAGAATTCAACAAAAGGTAGTTAACGTTAAATTTATGGAACAGAACTTCACAGTTCTTTATAAAGGACGCCCCCCCCCATTCACTTAGATGGAGAACACAGCCACCCACTCAAATCCACGTTACAATAAATAACTGACCATACCCTTTAAGAGAGCAGGTTAGAGGAACGAGTAAAAGCCTGTTAAACATTGTCTCTAATTGCAGAATGAAAAGCATTTTCCCAAGTTAAAAGAATTTCATGTATTTAAAGGGTGTGGGGGATTCTATTTAGGGACACAGAACCAGCACAAGCTGGTTACAGAATATACCTGGGGAAAAGACTCATCAGTCGTAACAGAGAGAACCTGAATCTAGGAAATGCATCTATGAATAACCCGAAGGAAACGACACGTGTTAGCAGGAAATAAAATATAGTCTGAATAAAATAGGATACATCGCATTCCTAGACAGGAAGACCATTTACCAAATGATGTCAATTCTTTCCCAAATTAAAGAAGTGTAACCACAACTCTAAAACACCCATACATATTTCACAACTTAATAAAGGATGTTTTACAAATTAAGAGAGAATGATTTAATGATGAATTATGAGAATGAATTAATCTGATTGAAATTTTTTTAGTTTTTAGATAAAGACAGACTCACAAGAAGTAACAAAAATAGTACAGAAAGGACCCGAATACCTGTCCCCCAGTTTCCCCAGTGGTGGCAGCCAAGGTAAGTACGGTACATCATGGAAACCAGGAGGCTGCCCATGACACAGTGCGGTTCACTCCACTACAGGCCTAACACGGAGCTCCCTGGGTTTTGCAGGTACTCACCTCACAGCAAATATCGAAACAAGTTACCATTGGACTGAAGTCAACTTTCTCAAGGTTTTATGCAAACATGAATCATACATATCAGACAATAGGGAAGGACTCTCTGAAACCAAAATTGGGGAAAAGGGAAATCTACATATATTAAAATCTCTCTCTCCCTATATATATATACACATATGTATGTGTATTTATATGTATACATACACACACCCATATATATGAATGAAACTTAAATGCAAACAACAAATCAGGAACAGCACAAACCCAGTGGCTAGCAGTTTTAAAATAGCGAAAACAGCCATGATTAGAAAAATACTAAGACCCCCTGTGGTGGGTGGAATGCTGCCCACTCCCCAAAAAGATTCGTCCATATTATCATCTCTAGAACCTGTGAATGTTATCTTGTATTTGGAAAAAGTGTCTTTGCAGATGCAGTTAAATATACTGAGATGAGGAGATATCCCTGGATTATCTGGAGGTCCCTAAATCTTATGACTAGTGTCCTTGTAAGAGACACACAGGGGATATAGAGAGGAGGCAATGTGATCAGCAGAGATTGGAGGGACACAAGCCAAGGAACACCTGGAGCCCCCAGAAGCTGGAAGATGCAGAGAATGGATTCTCCCCTAAAGCCCTGCCAAGCAGCAGGGCCCTACCGGATTTCCGACTTCTAGCCTCCGGAACTATGGGAGAATAAACTTCTGGTGTTTTGTGTTAAGCCAACACGTTTGTAGTAATTTCTGAAAGCAGCCACAGGAAGCTAATATACTCCTCCCCGCGATGAATAATAGAATGGGCGAAACACATGCAATTAAATCATTTATTCCAAATATTGGTCGACAACTCCTGCAAAACGCCACGTGAATCCTAGGGACTTGGAGAAGAGCGGAATGGACACAGGGCTGTGTGTCACAGAGCTCGTCCCCATGGCTCCCACCCAGCCTGAAAATGAGGTTGGCCACGTGCAGGAATACCCACTCAGCCAGTGCCCTTCCCAGCTTCTACCAGCCCCTGTGACAGGCCCAGCAGACACAAGGCTGCACCAAGCCCCCGCCCCCCTCAGGACCCTGTGCTGGGCACCCTTCCCGTCAGAGGGAGGAGGCGCAAACCCCAAACTCTTGGCCTGCCCACTTGCCAGCTCACAAGATGCAACGCATAGAAGGGTCTTGCTGACCTAACCAACACGTCGAGCTTTCGGAAAAAGCCAGATTTTTAACAGACATTTCCGGGCTCCTGAGCCAACATTCCCTTAACAGCAACATAAAATGGAGCCTCACACACCCTAACTGGTTTTTCCAGTCTCCTCCTCCTTCTCCAAGGAAAAATGTAGCCGGCTCTGGCATGAGGCCTGAGGCCCAAGTGGTCATCACCATGGGTTTACGGGCACCCCAGGACCCAATTAATACTGGCCCCCGGCTCTGCAGGGCAGCCCCAGCTCGTGCAACCCAGAGGCTCCTCCTGCCCCATCCAGGGCACTTTCTTGGGCCTGAACATAGAGTTTGGAATCAGTGCTAGTTAAGTGGGGGCCCTAGGCCCGGGGCTACGGCCTCCTCCACCTGCTGCAGAGACCTGACCCATGCGGTTCTCCAGCGCCTCTCCAATCTCCCGCCCTTGTCCCTTCCTCCTGCACACACACGCTCTGGAGCCCCTCCCTCCCATGGCTGCCTCGATGCCAACACTGGGGCCAGGCCAACCTCCCCAAGCCCAGCTCACACACAGTGTGGTGCCATCAGAAGGCCATGGTCTGTGGTCACACACACTGATGAGCAAGGTCACAAAACTGACCGGGGGCACAGGGGCACCTCTCTGCTTGGCCAGCATCGTTTCGAGACAGGGGTGGGAGCCATGGAAGGGGGCTCTGGGAAGGCACAGAGTCTACCTGTTCCGCTTACCACTGCACTGTTTGACACACAGCAGGTACTCAGCAAGTGCTTAACTGTGATTTCATATTCTTTACAATGCTGTAGGGTTTGCAAAACTAAGACACACTTCTGACTGTAGGGTTTGCAAAACTAAGACACACTTTTGCCCTCAAAGGTCAGCAGTCTTCGGGGCTATATCATACCACACAGGAAAAGCACTTATATAAGGTAGAATTTGAAAAATCTCCCTAAGAGACAAGAGAGATCCAAAGTTGGGCAATACTCACAGAGAATGGGGAGGGTGGGAAGGGTGACAAAAGGTCTGAATCAGGAGATAACATTGAAGATGGACTTTGAAGAGTGTGCAGGATTTCTGTAGGGGAGGGGGTGAATGAATGAGTAATCCCAAGCAAAACTGAGGCAAGATGGTGGGAGGGGAGAGGCGTGCCTCTGGGGAGCAAGAACCAGCAGCTTCCATTCACTGGGTGCTTACATAATGGCAAAGTCCTGCTCCGGATTAACTCACCCGAAGCTCAGCATAAGTCAACAGCTTGTGACCGGGGCAGCCTAGGATCATGAGCCCCACTGAGAGAAGGAGGCAGAGGTTCAGAGAGATTACCCGACTTGGGCAAGCTTGCACACCTAGAAGTGGCAGAGCCAGGAGCAGAAACTAAATCTGTTTCCAGAACCTACCACATCCTACCTGGTGGGTATCATTTGCTGGGCAAAGGACATCTGTAGTTCTACATGATTCTCTCTCAACTTCTCTCTTCTGGAAGGCATCAGGTTCCATTTCGCACCCTAACTAAAGTTTGCCTATAGCGTCTCATTGCATATAAACCATCCCCATCCCAAGTGAAGATGGGTTTTTTCTCCTTCCTTCTTCTCTCTAGGAATAGCAGATTCCTAGGATGACCAAATCAACTTGCTGGGTGATCCTGGATATAGCATGTTGGCTCCATTTCCTAGTCTATAAAATATTCTGTTTCCCGGGGTGCCTGAGTGGCTTAGTCAGTTAAGAATCTGCCTTCAGTTCAGGTCATGATCCCGGGGTCCTGGGATCGAGCCCCGCATCGGGCTCCCTGCTCAGTGGGGAGTCCGCTTCTCTCTCTCCCTCTGCCCGCCCCGCTCATGTTCTCTCAAATAAATAAAATCTTTAAAAAAAAAATCCTATAAAAAATATTGTTTCCCACATTCTAAACAACAATCTGGGAAGAAAAACAAGTACTACAGGAAATGATAGGAAAGCCTGTTCTAATTTCAGAATTGTAAAATGTGGCAAAAGAAAACAAAGTCGGCCCTAGAATCAAGGAAATAGGGTAGTAAGTAACTACCATTTAGTTTCTGTACAGCTCCGTGCCAGGACATTTTCAAGCCCGTTATGTGCACTGCTTGATTTAGTCCTCTCAAGAGTCCTATGAGGAAAAGCCATTATTGTCCTCATGTTATAGATGAGGAAATTAAAATTAAGATCCAGAGAGGCTAAGAGTCTTGGTGAAGATCAAACCTGGATCTGTCGGACTCCAAAGACTGATCACTTAGCTGAACTACTCCACACAGTCTCCAGTGGATTCAAAGGATATACAAACCCTTCAGTCAGGCAAATCCTAGTCTAGAGGCATATCCTAAAGAAGCACTTGATGTATGTACCTTATGGTTCTAACATTCAAGGAGTCCATCTATTACATCTCCTCCTGAATTTCTTCATATTCATCTTATTTGATGACCCTCCCCCTCCCCTCCCCTTCCCTTCCCTTAAGGCTCAAATCCCTAATACCCTGTGACTTCAGTTCCCCTGAAGCAAGATGCACCTTCCAAGTCTGATGGATATGTAACCACATTGTGGCATAAGGTCTGATATCTGTTTCCTCATGATAAACTAGTCTCCCTGAAACACATATTCCTACTCCATTTAAAATACTGCGAAGAGGGCGCCTGGGTGGCTCAGATGGTTAAGCGTCTGCCTTCGGCTCAGGCCATGATCTCAGGGTCCTGGGATCGAGTCCCGCATCGGGCCCCCTGCTCCTTGGGAGCCTGCTTCTCCCTCTGC